TCACTCGTGAAGGTCATGGCGAAGGTCCCGACCTTCACTCATGAAGGTCACAACCTTCACGAGGCATTCACGAGGGTCACTAGGGTCGCAGTGACGTAACGAGTGACGTCAGGAGTTACGTCAAGAGGGAGGGGGAGGGAGGGGGTGGAGGATGAAGGAGGAGAATGGAGGAGAGGTAGAGGGAGGATGAGGAGGAAGAAAGGACGAGGAGGAGGGGAGGAGGAGAGGAGGTGAAGGCGGGGAGGAGGAGGAGGGGCATACACTCCTCCCTTCCCCCTGAAGAGCTGCGTTCTTCGGCATTACAGGGCATTGTAAACGTGTTTAAAGGGATACTGAACCAAAGAATTTAGTGTCCATAATAAGTGGCGCACGTTCTTCCCACAAGCCAGCAGCCGCCGGTGTGCTCAAGCACACGCAACAAAAATGACGTCAAAGACCTCCATTCGCGGTTACGATGACAGTGAAATGTATGGGCTTCGGGCCAAAGGAGATTAAAGACAAGTTTTTCTTCTATACAGTCCAGTGGTGTCTGGTGTGAAAGGAAAGTGATCAATTGGTATAACAAGCACGTAGCTTTCACTTGTAGAGATGAAAAGCCTGTCTTTATTCTCCTTTGGCCCGAAACCCGTTCATTTCACTCAGCGCAAATGGAGGTCTTTGACGTCATTTTCGTTGCGTGTGCTCGCGCACACCGGCGGCTGCTGGCTCGTGGAAAGAACATGCGCCACTTATTATGGACACTAAATTCTTTGGTTCAATATCCCTTTAATTTTAATTGTTTGAGGCTAGGCCAAGGAGGATGAGGCGGGTAAGTGCGAGCCCCATAAGGCAACGTGCGCGGTGTGTGTTTCAACGTGACACGTTTTTATGTAGTTTCTACATATATCGTGAAGCCGCATCTCGTGAAGCCGTGGCCTGTGACGTCGCATGCCTCACAGTTTTCCGGCTATATTTAGCTGGAAAATTGGCGCCACGTAGCCTCAACAACAATTCGGTTTCTCCGCAAAATTTAGCGGGGAAAATGACGTTACGTGATGTGTCAATGAACGTGAACGTTTTACGTGAACAAGTTCAGTTTCCCCGCTAGATTTAGCGGAGAAATTGACGTCACGCGTCCTCAACGCCAATTCAGTTTCCCCGCTAAATTTAGCGGGAAAAGTGACGTCACATGATCTCAACACCAATTCGATGCCCCGATAAATTTATCGGGGAAACTGAATCGGTTTTGAGGCCATGTGAGGTCAGTTTTGCCACTAAAGTTAGCGGGGAAACTGAATGCGCAGTGTTGTGTTACGGGACATGACAGTCCTACACACCAATTCAGTTTCTTCGTTAAATTTAGCCGGGAATTCAATTAGTGTATTTGTCGGTGCCGTCCCAGAATGCAACGCGTGCGGTTACGCCAACGCCGCTATACGCAGAAACGGACGCCTAAAAGCTGTGCTCTAAAATGACTACGAAATTGTTGGGCAATTGTGTTGCTCGTGACGCGTGTGGTTTCAGTAAGATTTTTTGGGGATTGACGTCTACGCTCGCAGCGCTCTTCGTCGGTTAGCTTAGCGACTGGCTTAACCCGTGACACGTACACACTCGTTATAAATTCCTGGATTAGCGATACGGGCGCTAACGTGGGTTTTAAACTCCCGGCGCTCTTCCAGAGACCTCCATAACCGCTGATGTTTCTCCGAGGAAATCCAACCAGTGTCTGGCGGCCAGCGGTGGCAGGTGAGTGATTACGCAATCACCAGCTAATCAGCGTCGAGTGAGCGTGGCCTCGCGTGTGACGTCATGCCTCAACCAGCCAATCAGCGTCGAGCTATGGGGTGTGACGTCATCACCTAGCTCAGCCAATCGCCCTCGAGTTAATCGGCGGCTTCACTTTTCGGCTTCAGTAATTTGTAGACAACCGCTGGCGATACAGAATACGTTTCACGTGAAAATAACAACGAAAGTTTGGAGTCATCACATTCTTAAACCAACATCGTCACAGTTGACACTCTGACATTGCGCTGATTTCCATCGATAAAACAAAAATGACGTCAGAGTGAACGTTTAGCCAATCACAAATTGCGACCACAGGGACGCTTTGGGTCGCGCACGTCGCTAACACAAGGAGTGCCCCCCAAAGGCAAGATTCAAACAATTCCGTTGAAGGCGTTGACAGCAACCGAGACTAAGGTCCACTTCAATGCCTCCGGGATAACTGAGAAGAGCCATACTACGTATGCCGTGAGGGAACTTGCTCAAAAATTTGAGAGAACGGTTACATCGCTTGCAACGGATTAATCAAAGGCCGAAAACAAAGGACTGTTCACACGGTAACGTTTCCTTACGCTCTTTTATGATACGGGAGCCGACGTTTTATGTTTCCAGTCACCGCTACATCCATGCTTCGTATGGAGTGTGGCAACTAGTTCAAGGAGTAGCTTTGCACGTGACATTCGGAGCACCGATGTCCCGGTCACTCATACGCAACATAAAAAAGCGTAAGCAAACGCTTTTGTGTGTGCTGGCCTTAGTACAGACGCGTGTCTTCTAAACTCCGTGTTGCTTCCCACAACTTCGTCCTGCATTACTACTAGGGCTCAGCTACATACTTCTGTGATTAGCTTTGGAAGCTCCTTTCTCCTCATCTGCAATGCTTTTAGGGGCGAAGCTCCTTAAGGGGTATTCACACGAGGGAGAAATCCCGGGGATTTCTCCCCGGCACGCGCGCATCACGAGATGAAATCGCGAGGCTTTTGCACATCGCAAAGCCTGACGTTTTCGTCGTGGCATGCGCGTGCCGGGGAGAAATCCCCGGGATTTCTCCCTCGTGTGAATACCCCTTTAGGGGCTAGCCATGTCCGTATGTCCGTCCGCCGCACGAGCAGGAGCTCACGAGTTCAGCAGCGAGAGCAAGAAAAAAAATGAAAAAAGGGGGACAAAAAGAAAAAGAAGAAAAAAAAAAATAGAGGGCTCTGAGATGCCATCCCATCTGTCTTCTTAAAAAAAGAAAAAGAAGAAAACCACACATGCTTATGAATGAAAACGGCACCATCAGCACTACCTATGACCAAAATCAGTATCAAGAAAAAGAAGAAAAAAAAAAGAGTAGGGGATTCTGAGCTGCCATCCCATCTGTCTTCTAAAAAAAGAAAAAGAAGAAAACCACACATTCTGACATGAATGAAAACGGCACCATCAGCACTACCCACTGATCTCTATGACAATTGCTGGATCGCGCTTCCCCGCTTGTTCGCTGCAGCGCAAGTGAAGCCACCGGGCTTCACTCGCTTGGGATACGATTTGCCGTTTTTGCTAGCCTTTGCTTTGGTTTTCCAGCGTGCTGACGACACGTTTTCTAGTCGTTCGTCGTCATTCGCCGAAGAAGTTTTTTGAAGACTCTGTGTATTGTTGAGACTTTCCGTTGTGAACACGTGGAAAATTTTACGAAAGTGCAGTGTCGCAGGAAAAAGGCACAACGCGTCGAAAGGAAGGGCTGGCGGCGTGTTCAAAGCATCCTTGGCACGCCGAAGTGCCGTGTCTCTGTGCCTTCGCACGCTTGGATACCGACCAAGAACCGACGCCGTGTGTATGTGTTCAGCGAGTGCAATGTGCGTGAAGCTGTTCGTGCCTCTGGATCAGCGTCTTTTCCCCTCGCGGTTTAGGAACGAGCTTAATCCAGCGTCCACTAGCGACGGAAGATGGGGAGAAGGTACGTCTTTTTTTCGTCCTTAGACGATTTACACAATACCGTGCACAACAGCTCCTCATCACTGATTAGTGCTGGCTTATTATCAACCTACGCGACTCGCCTAATTGTAATTGGTCAACAGATTGCACACGACCATATCGGCCGCGCTTCAAAGATTTTCATTCTCGCCGTCTTGTACATTTGCTTTCGAAAACCCCCCTGGCTCCACGTACAACGTTGCCCTATTCGTGCTCCCACGGAATCTATTAGAGTAGATTTGGGACATAGCCATGGTTAATATAGTACATAAGAATACGTACAGATCTCCCCCTTTTATTGATAGCAACTCACCGGAACAGCTGGACGATCCAGAACTCCGTGGCCGATATATATAAATGATCTAAAGGCATCTACGCGCGACACACGCTCAGAACTTTGGCGCGGCGTCAATTCTTGACCGGTATCCAAGCGTGCGAAGGCACAAAGATGCATCACTCGGCGTGCCAAGGAAGCTTTGATCACGCCGCGACACCGGCGACACGTTTTCGACGAGTTGTACCTTTTGATACGGCTTCACGCACATTGCACTCGCTAAACACATTCACACGGCGTCGGTTCTTGGTCGGTATCCAAGCGCGCGAAGGCACAGAGACACGGCACTTCGGCGTGCCAAGGATGCTTTGAACACGCCGCCAGCCCTTCCTTTCGACGCGTTGTGCCTTTGTCCTGCGACACTGCACTTTCGTAAAATTTTCCACGTGTTCACAACGGAAAGTCTCAACAATACACAGAGTCTTCAAAAAACTTCTTCGGCGAATGACGACGAACGAGTAGAAAACGTGTCGTCAGCACGCTGGAAAACCGCAGCAAAGGCTAGCAAAAACGGCAAATCGTATCCCAAGCGAGTGACGCCCGGTGGCTTCACTTGCGGGAGCGGCAAGCGCGATCCAGCAATTGTCATTGAGATCAGTGGCACTACCTATGACCAAAATCAGTATCATCAGCACCACCCGAGCTTCGCCCCAATCAACATCATTCACCACGTGGAGATGCGGTAATTTTTCTTTTTAAACAAGAGCTTTCCAGATTATTTATATTTGACTTTGAGCGTACTACAGGGCGTGTGGCTCTCAAAGTTTTCCCCCAATAACAGAAAAACACTGTAGAAACTAATCACTGCGTACATAAAGAAAAGGTATACCCTTCAGGGAACTTGACGTAGAAAAAATATAAGATGAACCACAAAGGGGAATTCACCTGAAGACACCGTTGTACTACTGGAATTAGCAAAACAGGTAAGGCTGAGTAAATAACACTTCGGAAGAAACGTGCAAAACGATTCATTTAATAACATGAGAAACATCTGTACAGAGTATTTACAGAATAGGGAGTGCCCCACTGCAGCCCCATTTCTTTCAGTTCACATCCTCCTCTTTTTCATTCGCACTGCAGCATAAACTGAGGAACAATGGCACAATCATGACTACGGTCATTATACTGTACTACATCTCAGTTCAGTAATACCACCGCAGACTTTCCCCTTAAAGAATGGCCTCCAGCAACGTACTAATAAACTTGAATCGCATGAGATCTTATATTGGAAATGTGTAACCCGACACGTATACTGTCCTCCGTTTCATCTTCCGATGGAAGGCAGAGGACGCTCCTAGCGATCGAAGCCAATGTAAGGCAATGCGACCCACGTGACATTCGAGATAAGCCGCAAGGATGTGCGGGGTGCGTAGTCATGTGATAACATTCCCAGCACTGGATTGGCTTGAATGGCTTGCAGCGTCCGTTGCGGTTCATCGTAACGTGTAGCGGAGGATATGCAGACGTCAATTGCGTGGTAAAACTAAAAGGTGCAATGAGCCACACACAATGAGGAAAGCACGGCTCAGTTCCCTCTTGAAGGGAACTGAGCAGCGCTTTCTCTTTTAGGTTTTTATTGTACGTGTGTACAGCTTATAAGAAGCTTTGACATAATTATTTTTCGGAACATCAAGGCTGAAGGAATAAAATAATGTTCCCGAAATATGCATCTGAACTCTTAATGTAAAACAATCTGACACACAAAAAAAGACAAGTATTCGCTGTTTTTTACGGGTCATGTGACGGTTCTGCTGTCAAGGCTGGACAAGGCCAGGGGCAGTTTCTTTTAGCTTTAGCCACTGCTTTTTAGCGCATGACCCAGAGAACTGAATTGGCATGAGCGTGTTCCATGGCTCCGACAGCGATCGCAGCACTGTGTGTGCTCGGAGTAAGCGTGGAACAGAGGGTAATACCGCTTTTTACTAGAGCACCGGATATTCCTAAATAGAGAGGTTAATACCAGTGGACACAACAACATCAGTGGGGACAGAAAGGCAACAGTGACAACATGATCCCATAAGGAAGGTAGGGCTCACCTAAGAAAACTAACGTATACTGGATGAGAACCTTGCTGTGCAGAAATCTGAATTTTAGTAGAGTATTCAGTTTCCTATCTGATCTATTGCACGCAATACTGAATCTGAGAGATCAACGAGAACACTGCACACTCTGCCAGTTTGTCTCCAAAGGCTTTGGGAGAGAGAAAGTTTCTCCAAGTAAACTAGTGTCATGTCTTGACGAGTTCATCCGGCACTAGGTTTATTGCCAGCGCACGGGGATAGCGCCCAGTATGGCCTTTGATTAGTAGTGAATAATCGTTTACGCCTCACCAGGCTTTATATGTTTTAAATTTTCAGTTATGCTTCTCACTCGCTAGTCTTTTTTTTTTATTCTGGTTCACGGTTACCATATGGCCGCCCTTTCCCTTTGTGGTTGCAAATAAAAATAATTTCAAAAGCGTGCAAACAAAGGTGGTCGACTCCCGTCATGACGTCAGGGCTTCCCGTCAATAACTAAAACGAAATGTACAACGGAGTCCTAGAAAATTGCGGTATGATTACAGAGCAGAACATTTCGTTTTCTCTGAAACCATTGATGCATATATTGCAATATTTTTAAAGAAAAACATTTTTTTTTGTTCAATATGAATCATTCATAAGGCGTCCATTTCCTACACCCCAACAAAAAGAGGTACTTTCTGTTTCCTGAGCGTTGGGGAGTTCACAGAAACACTTGCGAAATTGTTATCAGCACACCCACCGAAGGACGTCGACAACTAATCACTGAAATCTACCTCAGCAACGCCCCCAACGACAAAGCTATACTTCGTTTCAGCTTAAGTACACACGCAGCCGACGCTACGAACTAATGGACCAATCAAGTAGCGTAAAAAGCGGAAGTCAATGGGTATTTTATATTTATGACCGGTTCAGCGCAGAGCAAACATGACGAACCCCATAATGGCGCACTTTTGACGCTGACTAGTTGGCCCCATCCGCTAGTTTTTTTCTTCGGCTTTCTGGACTTGAGGTAAAACAAAGTATAGCTTATATGTGTGCTTTCTTGGAAGGGCGCCAACGACCGAAGGCACTGTGAACTTTGATTTTTATGCTCTTCGATCTTATAAAGAATATAAAATCTCAATTCTGACGAGATTGCATATTTGTTTACGCTCTAAAAATAATGCCTGCATACTCACCGACTAGCTTTCAGGACAGATTGTACTGATCGGTGGTCGACGCGCTGGCTCGGGCAACTGTACACGGAAGAGTTTTTCGAAGGTTTCAAGCACGTTTCTTGAGCCTGACCGCACGGGTTTCTGATCACAGTCATCCGCCTTTTTGGGCACCACACTGAGTTCGTCCGCGATGATGATGTTTCAGGGAAAGTTCAGAGTTTCAGCATTTCGTTGGGCACTTCCTTCTCCGAGACATCCGCGAGGTTCTCTATATGAAGGGTGACGCGGACGCTCTTCATGTCTGGCACCAACGTGAGGATGTTGCACATGAGACCGATGATGAGAATCCATTCCCCGAACGCGGACCATGCGGTGTTGCCCTTGTACTGCAAACAAAACAATAAACCCGTTATAAGTAAGGTCCCTATTTAGTGTGCTTCAATCCGAAGGTATTGATCAACTGTCTTTCAATTTAACTTATGGCCGTAATAGTGGGGTCCACTCCTTTGAGCTCTTACTCCAGGGCAGTTACTTTTACTCTAGGGCAGTTCATCCTGGACACTTTATACCAGAACCACTCTTCATTCAAATATAATTTATCCCAAGAAGCTTCATGCGAGTTCACGCTGGCCCTATCCTAGGCATAATATGTCCTGCTTTAAGATACGGGGCTGAGTCTATGAACCCACACCAGCTTGCACCGGCGGAGAAAGGGGTGTACCGCGGTGCATAAAATATAATTCTGGTTGGATTTTCAGATAAGCTGCACACGTAAATTGAATACGGTGTTGAGCACTGAGTGCAGTTGGAGCATGAGGCAAAGATAAATTGAATAAACTCACAGTCTAATTTATCCTAGCATGAAATGTCAAGTTATGTACGGGTTGCATTGACGTCATATCAGCCAATTTTCTGCAACATAATTTGTACTATCTTTTTTTTTTTTGCGAGAGCAAGTAGGAATGAAAATCGTCATGGTGCCATGACGAAGGGTATGGTGCACGTATAAAATGTCAATGTCATGAAGCGTTTTGTCATAAAACACTAAAATAAAATACTTTTGTGTTGAAGTGTTCAAGATGTGTTGGGAATAAATAATTGCAGTGAATTGTGGTAGAGTGACAGAAGGTTTTAAATAAAATCACTGGGCTGGGGGGAGGAATGTAGCGCCGCTGCCTTCTCTGCCGGCTAGCAGGACACAATAAAATATTAACATACAGCCGACCAAAACCTCGAAAGGCGATTGGCTGATAGGTTTCGATTGCCATGGCAATCGACACTTTGGTCCCTTGCTATCTTCGAATCTTCGAAAGCGTCGTTCTAAACCAGTCGTGCCAAGATCACTAAGTAGTTTCATCGTGCTGAAAGCGTCACTCGCTACTGTAAGCGTATTTGGCGATATGTATGCAATAAAACTATCCATCGTCATTACCTCCACAGTTCTCTTACGCATCTAAAAAGAGGAAAACTATTTTTCGGTGCCCCCGAGCACAGTAGGTTAGGTTAGGATAGGATGTCAAAATCTTGGTATACAAGAGATTCTCCTATAAGGCTACCCGTCAGCAGTGAATTTAGATTGGCTCACTAAGAATGGAGAAGTGGAGAGGTTAAAGAGAAACTATTCACTCCATGAACCAAAATGACGACCATACGGGTAATTTGGTGCTACTCTCCCGAGGAGTTAGTGACTTTAGTTCTATTGGCCTCGAGATCGACCTAGAGGTGGCGCTACTGTCGTGCTATCATCATCATCAAAGCGGGGATAGGAGAACGGTCGCCCCATAGGCTCTCCACGTTCGTGTGCGAGACGGCGTAAATTCTTGCGTTTATTTTGTAGCATAGTATCGATCGAAAAACAATTCTAGCGGAAAATGGTGCGGTACTTCGGTGCTTCAGTGAAGATCGAATCGTGTTCCCAGCGTACGGCCTAAATTTAAATAATCGCTTATGAAGATGCGTCGTCAGCTCTAGGCAGACGTTGGGAAGCATGGATCGCCGCGATGGATGCCTGTCTCCAGCTAAACTGCATTATTTATGTTAAATGTTCGTTTCCTTTAAAATGGAAGTATCGGTTCATCATCGTAGGAATTCAACAAAACAATAAACTCCAACCCGGATAACGTAATACTGGTACTGTTTGCTGTGAAATCGCAGGTTCTACGCATTTTTTTTTTTTTTACTTTTAGCTCTTTTAGTAATATAAATATTTAGTATGAAGAGAAGTTAGTGGTGGATCAGAAATTGCTGTGCTATAGAGTTCCCCTGCTGTCAAGGTTTACCTTTACTGCTCCATGCTGTCGGCAAGTTTCTCCGAGTCTGAACAATTCTAACGGTGCGATGAGGAGAGTGTGCCTCCACTAGTTACGACCCGGTAACTGTTCGTTGGTAGGACGACTGAAAGAAGTGATACAAAACCTTTCTAATATATATGCTGCGAGTGTAATAAACGAGCGTAACCGAGCAACGCAGCAATGTTCCTGGTATTAAATGCTCTTCACGGTTGTGTGGGCTCACCCGCTTCAATTTTCTTGGTAAGGGACGCGAATGTAAAGAGGCGAATATTTTAAATTTCTGTCTAAATAATCTTCTATTCAAACAGAATAGTCTCTGCAACTCGAACAAACGACACGCACCACAATACAGACAGCATAGGCCGCAGCGATACTCGTTTAGTGATGAGGGCTAGCGACCTTCACGAGACATTCCGATCACCGTCCGCCCTCACCTAACGTATATCGGGACTGGGCAGTTCATAAATTAACCTTCAGATTATTCGAGTGATGCTTTAATTGTGATTTTTGTCGTTTTTTTCGGAATCTGGTGCTGGAGACAATCAAAGAGTCAAAAAATGCCTCCGTTAATATTTTTGACGTCTATATTTCTTTTGTGACACAGGCCTGCACGGTAAACCCCTTCAGCGCGCTTTTCATTGTCACCGAGGGTGATTATACTATTTAAATAACAACTTAAAAAATTACTCCACTTTAAAAGGGATCCCGTGTTCATATTTAAGTTGGTGTGACAACGTGAAGTTTAGAATGGGAATCCAATATGCCATTTATGATATAGTAAAACTAGTAAAAAAATGTTTTAACGTCTTCCATGCAATATAACCGGCGAAAAATCAACTAAAAGATTTATCGATTGATTAGTCTATTAAAGGGTAGCAATCAGTCCGCTTAATTTTCTAATTAAACCACGAATCCAATCAACATTCAATGTTTTATGAAAGCTATGGTTTGCGGGAGATACCAAAAATACGTGGGACGTGCGGTTGTATGCAAACCAACGAATTAAGACTTTGGAAGCGTCCGACTTAATAATAATCACTTTGCTTAATTTTTACGCATTTGAAACGATACAACACAAGCTTTAGTAAGAAGAAACGACCACAAAAACATCAATTATTTAATAAGAAGGGTCCAGCTCAGCCGGAAACGGGCTTGCGTCGTCGAGATCCATGCTTCTGAACGTGCACACATAGCAGACGACGCACGGCGGTATCCCCGCTTTCGCATGTTTCCAATTTCAGCCGCACGGGGGCGACACTGTTCGGTCTCGAGGTGAATACACTCGCGGCCATTGTCGAGCGTGAAGCTGCTGAAAGCTTGCTGACGGCGAGCTTCCAGGACGCCTTCGCAGCGTGCGATCCACATCAATATTGTCCTCCTCTGCAGACAAAACATTCGAACTCGTTCCGAACATGCCCTGCCAACAATGTACTCAATTATTACGTCTACTGAATAATACCATCAATACTGATATACTCAGTTTTGGGCGACCAAGAGTTGTGACTTCATCAGCTGGATTCTCCGCACGGTAAAGTTGCGGTATACTCATTGGTAGGGCACGGGCTTGAGGTACAGTAGTTCAACTGCCATGCCTGCAGTAAGTCTTCGAGTGGTGCTTTTACCGTCCTATATCGCGCATGCATCGAAAGCGGTCCTGAGGTGGCAAGAAATGATGCACCAAGAGTCGGTGTATCATGTTGTCGGACTTCGCGAACCTAGCGGTTGGTTGTAAAGTTCATGGAAAAAGTACGGGCGAACGCAAGTGCCGCTATCGTCGCGGCGTCCGAAACTCGGGTCTGCCGAAGATTCCGTGGACTGCAAACTGAAGAGGGACGTCCAACAAAACAAGCGTATGCTCTATCCACCTTGGCTTTTTTGCCACGGCCAGGATCACGGCAGGCGACATGAGAGCTACATGAGGTCTTCAGGAGAAAATGTAAGGGACGATTAATATAGGACGCGTTGAACACACCCTTCAAAGACACGTTTCAGGCACCTTAAGCTGAGGTCACACTGCTTATACATAATACAAAAAACAGCCTGCATACACATTCGAAAGCGAGTTAGAGCGAAATCCGCATTTCGAATGCAGCATGGCAATGAGTTAAAGGGGAAACTTGGCATGGGCGGCATTCAAACCACGAATATTGCTGTGACTCGCGTTTGCACACCGTCTTTTGTATGAGGTATGAGCAATGTGACACTATTCACCATACCGGCTTTAGTTAAACGTATAATTTTTTCTTTCACTAAATGATTATGGAAAGAGTGGATATATGTCTTTCTCAAGAGAAAATGTGCCTGCACTTACCACAGACCCGTGAGTGGCGCTAGGCTTGAAGTCATTCGGAGTTTCGAAAGGCGCAAACACTGCCACTGTATTGATGTTAAAGGACACAACAACAAAACCGGCCTTGCTTGACTATTGTACCTTATTTAAAAGTGAATTTGTTTGCATTTTAAATGAACCAGCATATAAAAAGGTGGCATAGTTTTAGCTCACGACTGGGTTTTCACAAGTGAGGTGGAATGCACTGCAGAAAACAATACCTGTAGTAGAATGACGCATATAGTCAGGCTATTGTGTTTTCCATGCAGGTGAGCCATAAAGCTCAAGACGATTGAAAATACATTAATTGGGCCTCCTGTTGCAGCTAGGGATATAAAAGATTTCTAGGGATATCTACCTCTTTCATGCGTTTGATATTTCAGAGCTTCAGACGCTTTCATTAGCAAATATGAAATTCTAGAACACAGCAGCTTTGTGCATTGGAAACAAATAAATTAGAGGAAGGAGAAAGTGAAAGTACCCGAATAAGTATCTATGGCGTGTCTATTATTATAACGACTTTACAAGGATGGTTTCCTAATTAACCCCCTCTATTGATGGTAAAATGTTACTCTAATAAAGAGTATCACGCCAGATGTTATTTTATTTACTAGCATGAGACGAACTTCAAAGCATCAAAACTTTCACTCTGATCATCGATGGAAACGGAGCCCGAGAGCTGAATAAGATTTCATAATAGCAATTCACACGTAAGTTGCACGTGCTACATATTTTTACAGCGTCATTCGTATGCAGAACATAGGACCAACACATTTGCCGTTCGTCCACTCACTTAAAATGTGTCTGTCAAAAGGTAACCATCTTGGACACTATTCACCATACCAATTGACCCCAGTTGAATTCTAAAAGTAATAAAAGGATACTGGCAACAGCTCCTGCGATGCAGGCCGCCGTGGAGGCCATTCTTGCGTAGCCCACCATCGGTCGCCGGTACTGCGGTCCCAGCATCCAAGCGAAGGAGATCTGCACCACGAAGTACGCGACCGAAAACACGAAGACTAGCGAGGCGCCGGCTAGATGAGGAATCAGTACGGGAAGGAGCTGGAAAAAGATGTACAAGAATGGCGATTCATCAGGTAACCCTCCGTTTCCGGCATCGGAACGTGAGGCACAAAATCAACACTTCTGCGAACTCAGTGAAGAGTCACTGATTATGGGTTTTAAAGGGATAGCTTAATATGGATACCCTCCAAAAACTAACATGGTAACTCAGGAACGGGGGGAAAACGTCCCGTTTTTGCCCCCACTCCTGGGTTACCATGCACCCAAGGTCACGTGACCCTCCAAGGTCACGTGACCCCCCAAGGTCACGTGACCCCCCATGTAAGTAACAGACCTGTTCGCCTGCGCACTTGCTTTAAGCGCGAAACACATGACGACGAAACCTTCCGATCCGACGTGCGGACTGCCGGAATGACCTTGGGGGGAGAGTTTTCGTAGCATCGGAGAGCGTTGAAAACCCTCGCCTCCGACCGTCGTATTGCGCGGTCGGACATCGGATCGGACGGTTTCGTCGTACATGTGTTTCGCGCATTAGTTCCAATGAAACCTCCAGGGACCTTTCTGGCTTGTGTTGGTCTGGTCGCATGGCGTCATAATATAAAATGATCTCATAAGGTCACGTGGCATCGTGGCGTCAGTTAACACTATGATGATTTTTTTTTTGTGTAAAATTTAGCGGGGAACTTAGCGTCATGTGGACATCAATTTACGTGGCACCACGGCTTCACAATGTCAATTTAGCGAAAATGATACTACAGAATATGTCTTTCACACACTAAAAGGACTGTTTAATGTTTTCTTATGAAATTTAAACGATCGCCCCTTCCACACTGCATGCCGTGCGTTGTAGAACGCAGAGAATAAAGGTCGCGTGTAGTCTAGTAGGCGCGGCGGTATTTCGGACCTTCTGATAGAAGGTCTTTAAAATTAAAAAAAAAAAAAAATAAACGACATCATGTGCTGCCGCAACTTCATTGAATTTGACAAAATTTCTAAGCTAGGTGATTTTCCGGACTGCAGGCGGCAAGAAAAAAGTAAAGGCGGAAGAAAGAAATACTTCAGAGGCCGCATCCCTTACAAAAATTATCAATAACTTTAAAATTAGGTTTTAATGTACTCTATAAGAATACATTAGAAACTCAATTGAAACTCTGTGATAATTTTTGGACGGGATAGCATTGCGAATGCTTTAGCATATTTTAAAAGAAAAAAAAATACTAAATCGTTGTCATTCATCTAAATCCGGAGTAGATGCCAGACTTCTTTATTATTTCTATATATCGTCCCTACCCCCTTTCCCTCTCTCTTTTTATAATATCCTTCGTAGTTTTTAAGGTGAATGAATGAATGAATGAATGAATGAAAAAAAACTTCTTACCCAGGTACCGTCCCTACGTAGATGGTTCATGGGACTGATGCCGACCATCACAATGCCGAGCCATGCCAACACGGCGAACACGAGGGCTAGGTAGTTGAGGCCCGCGATGAGCTTCTTTCGTGGGCTGTCTACCGCCCTCACGGAGAGGAAGCGTACCAGGAAGGGCGGAATGCCTGTTCAGAAGAAATCCAACGTGCAGTAAGCATCTGCGTCTCTCTGACCCTGTGCATTCGTGTTTTCTGTGATCAGTGACCGGAACCCCGTAGACGCTGCTCATCCAGGACGCGCTGGTTGCATTCAACCGAGCTTTCGATGCGTGTGCGACCAACTGCTATCAAAACCATCAAGCTCGCGCTCGAGACGGAGCATCCCCTGGGTTCTTACCCTTTCACCTACCATAGTTTGGTAAATAATTGTTAACGCACTTCTAGTCTGTATATGTTGTTTAATAGTTTAATTATAATTCTTTCACCCTAGGCACTACATAACTTGGATATCGTTTGAAGTGCCAAGTTATCGAAGAAAGGAAGAACATTTCATCTCGAGAATGCTGCAGAAGCTGCAGTCTAAGTGAGAACTGAAAGCGTTTTGCGATATTTATGCATACGCGGTACAATATCTCAACTAGAATGCATATTATCTTCGATCACAGCTACCGTAACTAGCGTGTGCATAGAGTCGTAAATAATGAGCCCTGGAATGATGAATCATTACAGATAAATAAGCTGTGTTGTAAAATTTGTTCAAACGCTGATGTGTTCAAATAATTGACCCGCTTACAGGTTAATGCTACGCGGGTGAGTCTCAGCATCTTGTAGATGATAAAATGGCACTAGGTCGGTTGCATCATATAATTTTTCTTTCAATATATCACTTCGACAACGATGAAACATCAGTAAGCCTCCAAAACGTAAAAAATAACCTTCAGCAAAAGACTGGAACTGCCTCTAAAGGTACACGTATAAATAAAACACAGTTCGCACCTTGAATATACTATAGAAGCACCGCTGACATTTATATGCAAATGGTACCGACGAACACACTGCGTCTCTTTTATATCACTCACCGTACACTGCATACATATCAGGCACGGGACACGAAATCTTTACACTAAGCTGCTTTCTTTATTTCTTCTTTTCCGTCATTTGTGACTGAAAATTGCGCTTCGGTTTCTTCAAAGCACAAAGAGTATGTTAAAGTTCGACTTAAGTTGTAAGCAGTGATAGAGTGCAGGCGACCTGGTAATTAATCGACATCTTGTAGACCCTGAGATGGGGCCCATCTCAGGGCCTACAAGATGTCGACTTAAGTTCTCCATTTTCTGAACGGCAGAAGCTCTTCTTAGTTTTCTTTGTTCTCCAAACTGCGATTAATATCACAGAGTGAGCGAATAGATATACAAGGTATAAATCGCTAAATTCAATGTCATACATGAATCATTATTGTAGCATAACAGTCAAATGAGATATTTTTAATTTTAAAACTCTAAAATGTATAAGGTCTTAAAGGGACAGTACAACAATATTCAGTTGGAATGTTTTTTTCTTTCACTTTACACGAGCTTACTGGCATTAATGGCACCGAAGCATACTCAGACGCAACGCCATTGACCAAGAAACCTCTTTGTTGCGGTATAATGTCAAGAATAAAAGCGATCGTTTTCTTTCATTGTTCCTTTCGCAAAACTTTATGATGTAGTATATGATGTAGTATGGAGGACGTTGTGTCTCTCAGTGACAGTATGTAGTCCCCCAGCAGCGATATTAAAACGCGGCGCAGAGATTTAAGCGGAACATAGCGTGAGCCCTCGATTTTTACTCGCGATAATCAATTGGAACTTTTAGTAAAGCGTTACAATGTTTCGCGTACCACACTACCGGAGCCTTTGAAGCATGCTCCTTAGTGCGCGTCCGGGTGATACAGTGATCACGGGGCGCGCGCTTAAATGCGTGCTTCAAAGGCTCCGGCAGTGCAGTACGCGGAACACGTTAACGGTTTGCTAAAAGTCTCTACTAGCTCGACAAGCATTCAGGTAGTGGATAGTGCCCAGTCACTTCAATGACAATAGCGGAACCCCAACAGTGTCTGGAACTCAGCCCATGTTCTGTACTTTGGGAACCCCTGCTCGTGGCTATGATCGGCATATAATCAGCTCCAGATCACGTGGCCGCTTGCTCTGGCCACGTGGTTCTGGCTGCAAGTTAAGGGGGAGAACGCTGCTCGTTTTTCTTTTATATTTTTGTGACTACCCTTGCACAAGGAGAGAAACTAATGCGTGTTTCATGGGTTATAAACACAAGCGATTAATTCTAATTGGTATTTACGCAAAGCACAAAAAATCATTGGACCTTAGTACTATCTATGATAATCAATGCAGTTTTAGTACGCTTTAACCCAGTAAAGCAAACTTCTCATACTTAATGAAGTTTTAGTACTAATTTAAGCATTTTGCATTTCATTGAACGTTCAGTACAGTAAAGGGAAGAAAGTTCACTGCTCTATATATTTGTGCTTTCTTGTCGTTTCTGCCTTGCAATCAAACCCTGGCCTCGTCAAGCTTGTTTCAGCGACTTTCTTTTTCGTCTAGGAAACCACAATATTATATATGTTGGAAATAAGCAATGAAGTTTTGACGTCTAGCTTCAAAATTTCGAATTTCCTTGGTGCTTACCGGAGAAAGCCGCCACCATGAGGGCGACTCCAAACAGTGCGCTCTGGGGAGCGTTTCCGCCAGCGTCACTGGAAGCAAAAAAAGAAAAAAATAAGTCGTGGGCTTTTTAAGCATGCCATCATCAGATTGCAGCACTTCGGTACGTTTTCTGCGGAAAAAATGGTCAACTCTTCGCGCGGCCAACCCGATGGTTTTCAGGCAAAGTACTAGCCTCCGGATATTTTCTTGTTGGGGTTGAATTACGCCCGAGCTGATTGCAATATGATGCAAGGTTTTTAAAGAGTAGGCGCCGTGTAGCCGAGAGTTTGTTGCGCGCTAAAAATTACTACATGGTATAAAGTTAAATTAATCCACACTTCATTTTTTGTGCTAGATCTCCTTCAGTGCTCTGGTACGTAAACCTCTAAAATATAATTAAGCACGTGGTGCCTTTATAAATGAGTTTAGATCGAGTAAAGATGGTCTTGTTGAAAATCAGTCAAGCTACTCGGACAGCTTCTGTCCGAAGCTTTCACGATACTTTATTCTTGAGTACAGTGTGAAATGCAGTCAGAAATGGGAAAAACCATGAAGTGAACTGTTCTTCTATATGTACAAATCTTTTTTGGTCGTCTCCTTTTGTTTTACACTCTCTCCCATAGCATCCACCAAAGGTTGACCAAACATTGCAATATCAAACGATTAGTCACACAATCACAGAGCGCGGCACAATTAACGCGAACACGGCCGCGACGTATTTTCACAGTTTGCGGTAAATAGCATCAAATCTAGCTCTGAATTATTTTTATTTACGCAGAATGAGTCTTTCACGTTACATTTTGTTTCATCCAAGGTTTAGCACTACCAACGCTACGACGAGCTAATGAGGCCAATGAAGCGTAGACATAGTAACACTGCAGGTAGGGGACAGCTCTCCTGCCTACTTGCTTTAACTTCAATGAAGCGTCTCGGAAAGCGCTAGATCATGCCGTGTTCTGTTTCTATTCGCGTGTTACGCCAACTACTCCAATGTTGCTGTTGCTGAAGTGTCTTCGTTGATCAAAAGACGAAAAAAAAGGGTCCCCCCCCCCCCCCCCCCCCGTTCTTTTTTTCTTTCCCGTCTTCTGATCAACGCAGGTCATTCTTGGCTGGCACCGTATACGACCCAGGGGACTGATCCAACCAAGCGCAAAGAACGAGTCGTCACATCGCGTTTTAATTCTGGGCGTTTTGTTTGTGTTGTAACTAGTTATGGGCTTCGCTTAGACTTAGGATAAAACAAAATATAGTAGTTTTGAACATTTAATATCTATATTCTAAGAAATAAAAGAGGAAAACAAACGGTAATTGCTTGTTGATTTTTAAACTATCGGACTCTTCCCTTCTCCTTGCGGTATTGTAAAGTGTCCTGAAATTCCAAATTACTTCGAGTTATTACTGTTTTTGAACAATACACAAATACATTTGAATATAACTTAAAATGGTATAGTTTGTCTGGAAATTGTTTTTGGCCCTCCCAGTATATCTTCTGAAGGCCCATCACGCCTTACCTCATGTCGGTCAGCTTTTGTCGTTAGTTTCCTTGTTGCGCCAACTTCTGCGTCAACGGATGAAGCTAATCTATAATTTAGGCGGTAAAGGAAGTTACCCCTATAATATAAAAAAGTACCATGATAGTAATTAGTTTCATATGGCGTTCGTCCAAAGCATTTCTTGACGCTATTTTTGCATATCCGCACCTTTCCGTGTGTCGCTCCTCTTTTCTCAATTTCTGTCACGTTTTGCACCAGGTGACATTTGCACCACACTTGCGCAATATTTTCTGACTGTGTGGGGGCAAGGAGGGTTATACTTCATTTAAGCAAGAAGGTTGCGTAAACAATTTAATGTATTGCTGCAATACCTAGAACAAGGGGAACTTCAGGTTCATGAAATGAAATACATATACAATATCACAACTTTTGAAGAATCACTGTTGTTATCGAAATGAAAAAAAATCAGGCAGTTATTTTTTATTCTTATAAATTTTATGAAACGCAAGTTTTAGAAAAAAATTAAATTGTATTCTGGTACATAGATGTAATTTATAGTAACTTAAAATAACGTTCTGGTACACATGTGCACAACAGCTTGACGGAGCGCCTTTCTCAAGTGTGGTTTTATATAACGCATATAGCATCAAACTATACATAGCAAAAGCATAGAAACTCAACACAACACATAGTTGGTGTTCCGTCTTTTCGGATAAATACGAAGAAACTCGTAAAACACTAGCTAATAAATTTCTGATAAACTTGGACTTATTTAAAAAAAACGCCTAATTTCGAGCTCACAACGATAAAATAAAAAGCAAAAACGACGGTGTTTTACAAATACATGTTAAATAAGGACAGCGTCAGTGGTCTTGGAAACAGGCAACTTCAGTTCTTTATTTGTTAACCTTGAACTACTAATTAAAGAGCATTGCCTTTTAGCTTGTCAAGTTTCTTTCGGGACAACGGGTCATGGTCCCCGGATGTCATGTATTTAGTGTTTTCAAGTTTAAAAAAAAATTGGGAACACTGAAAAATTAAACTCCGAAATTTGGAGAACTGGGAAGTATAATAAAAATAAACTCCGATAAACCTCGAATTTTCAGCGTAAAATAAACTCCAAAAAAACCCCTCCGAATCTCACGAGAAATCATCTCCGAAAACACGGAATCCTGAACATACGCAAAATAATGCGCTCTTTACTAATTCGTGGATTCATTTCTTTTCAACTGGTTACGCAAACATCTAATTGAGATTGAGTTAAGGTCGACATTATTGTTTATGAGAGCATATAGAGTAGTAGGGAGTGTGTATTCTAATGATTGCTGAAAATAATTATTAGGACAAAGTGGCACAGTTCAAAAGTCCGCCGGGAGTTGAATAGGAAATAGTAAGCCCTGTAAGATTAATAAGATTCCTTCTACAAGACTATCCATAGTGTCGCGTATCTGCCTGTTCAATTGTGTACGTTATTATGAAAGTATTTGCTGAGTAATACACACTCAGTAGTCAACGCACATACCTTCGTGTTTTCATACTCTTCATCATTACTAGCCAACCTTGTCTTGTGAGCATCTATTGCTCTTTTCATAGTAATAATGATACGATTTCATTAACTGAACTTTTTTAATAAGCTTGGGCTTTTTGTGCGTGGTATTGTGCTATACCTATTGATTACTTATGTGCTTGTTCAATGTGTTGAATTTCTTCGTTTTTTTTTTTTTTTTGTTTTTCGGTTCTCGGGCCTAGTCAGATAAAACCTGATCATCCTTGTTCCATCCGCTCCCGCTCCCGCTCCCCCTCCCCCTCCCTCCCTCCCTCCCCTCCCCCCCCCCCCCCGCCCATATGTCGACTGGTCTCGGGCATTTAATGAGAATATGTGATAACAGTACAGCAGACGGTGCGATTCAACTTCTTAAAAAATGCAAAGATAGTGGAAGATTAACGATAAAACACCGCAAGGATCGCTTCGTATTTTACTAAGGTAATAATAATAATACTGCCTTTATTTCGAACTATGACTTATAGTATTGGTGGGGCTTGGGAAAGAAGTTAAAACAGCTTGACTGGTCTCGAGTCCCCAGAAGTGTAACAGCAGCGGAAGAAGTTCACAGAAAACTCATAATATACATCAACAAGATGATTAAAACAGAAAAGTAGTGAAAGTATTGATATAACAAAGAATGAACATAAGTAAAGTTACAAAAAGTAAACTCACAAAAACAACAATTGGAGCTGCCAGTATGATCTTTAACGGTAAAATGCAGCCTTTTCTCGCAAATATTTAGGACAAATGCTATGTGACAATTCACAGCTAGCAATCCAATAAAAAATTGAATGTGCGGTGGATGCCTGTATATATATATATATATATATATAAGGTGGTTTTTTTAAGCTTAACAGATTTGTTTAAAAAAAGCCGTGAAAGTTACACTTATGCCGTTAGCGGAAGTGAGTTATACGGCCAGGGGGGACATGTTTTAGGAGGCTAATCGTAACGATCAGTCGTCTAATAAATTAACATTCGTTAATTAACTTTTTAATTAATAAAAATAGACATATGGCTCCAATTAGAAACTTGCTCAGCGTCACCGAAAACCACTAAATCAGTCATTTTCAGAAAGACTTTCGGCGCGTGAGAAGCGTAGTATTGTACTAAAGTTACCACTCGTGGAGCAGGTACAAGGCTGGGGCTAGATAAGAGACGGAAAAATCGCGCGGACGCCTTATCGCAAGTTCGCAACCGCTAGCTTTGTACCTGCTCCACGAGTGGTAACTTTAGTGCACTACTACGCTTCTCACGCGCTCAAAGTCTTTCTGAAAATGACTGATTTAGTACTTTTTAATGACGCTGAGCAAGTTTCTAATTGGAACAATGCCTATTTTCATTAGTTAAAGAGTTAATTAACGAATTTTAATTAATTAGTCGACTGATTGTTACGATTAGCCCCCTATAATGTCCCTCTGGCCGTATGACTCACCTCCACAAGCGGCATAAGTGTAACTTTTACGACCTTTTTTAAACAAATCTGTTAAGCTTAATAAAAACACCCTATATATATATATATATATATATATATATATATATATATATATATTATATATATATATATATATATATATATATATATATATATATATATATATATATATATAGTTAAAATAATAGCCTCTTGGAGGCCGATAGTGACTCAATAGCTTGACCTCTGCCAACATCTGGCAACCTTTACTCTTGCGCGGAGGTTGGGGAACAACGCACACGAGTGTCATTTTATCTTCTTGGGTATCTTATCGAGGCTGTGTAAACTTCTGAAAGCGACTGCCCCTTTTAAATCAGGAAGCTGAGCCTATCGCAAGATATGATATAGGTTGGATTGTCGTAGAGGCAAATGCCGAACTTTCATCCAGCATCGTAACACGTAGAAACGGAGAGTGAACGATCCTCAAAGTTGAGTCGGCTTGCGAATGTGTCAGCCAATTGCAAGTCGTGGCTAGCCTAAAAAATAATAGGGGGCTCTCTTCAGAGAAGATCCTGCACACGAGTCTGGACGTATTTT